GAATAACAATATAATATTATGTATGAATGCAGCACATGACATTGAAGCATTTCAGTATGCAAGACAAAGAATAATCCTTTTTTAATCACAGTTTTACCATAACAACCAGACAGGTCCAGAGATATTCAGTGATTCCCCCACACTGTTTCAATGAAGAAAGCCAATGTCAGTCAGAAAATATATCAAGCTCTTCTGATAGCTAACTCTATGCCCAGACCACAAAGCCACGAACTCTTGTAGTTTTATCACGTGTGACTTCATACGAATTTTAATTCTCTATCGGGGCAGAGCGGGACGGCGGGTGGCCCCGCCCCCTCGTCGGCCGGGTGTGGGGCCATGGCGAGGCCGGGGGCTGCGCGGTCCGGCAAGGTGCGTGCGGGCGGGGGGCGGCGGGAGCCTCTTTGTCTGCAGTCGGGTCTCAGCCCTCTCCTTAGGCGCCTCGATAGAGCCCTGATTTGCGCGGGGAGGGCTGACGGGGTGTCCCCGCCGAGTACGGAGCTGGGCGATCGGCGTAGCGACTCCCGATGGGGTCGGGCCTTCCGGCACTGGGCGCCTTTGCTTTCCTGGGCTGCGCCCAGCAGCGCTTCCTCAGGGCTCAGCGGGTTTAAGTGTGTCGGTAAGGGGCACCGCAGCGAGCTTTCCCTTCAGGGCTCTTCCTTCTTGGTGTATCTGTAGTTTGAGCAGCGACTGTAGTTTATTCTTAAAATCGCCAGTTCAGGTGTGTATTTATAGAGCTTGCTTTCAGTCTGGAACGTATGTTTCTATGTCAGCCCTTGGCCATGTCATTAAGTGATTTACTGTATCTGTAGAATGCTGCAGAAATTAATGAAGCCTCATGCTGTACAGGCACCTTTTGTGAAATTTAAAGTACTAGATCCTAATGGTAGCGGTGAGCCCCCTCCTGTTCTGAGAGCTGTAAATTACCTTTACCTGATCTGTCTCAGCAGTTCTTGGAATTAGTGGGCAATGGTAATGTTTAATTATGTTGTGAAAGTACTTCATGAAGATCAAAGTATATTTCTGTAATCAGCAGGCACTGTCTTCTGGAAGGCTAACAGGAGCATCTAAATTAACAAATGGAAGAAAACAGTAAGACCTTAATCATTCATACTATCTAAGAGTGAGTGTACACGTGAGCATTTGGGAACCTTATACTTGTCATACTCACAAGTAGCCCAGAATTCTTTGTATATATCAGAAAACGTTTTTAGCTGAAAGGCAATGCAGCCAGATTCTAAGCAACTCATGAGTATACAGACACAAACTCCATAGAAATTTTGCCTGTAGAAAATACAGGATTGACTCTACATGTTTTCACAGAATCACAGAATTGTCTAGGTTGGAAAAGACCTTGAAGATCATCCAGTCCAACCATCAACCCAACATTAACAGTTCTCAACTCCGCCATATCCCTCAGTGCTATGTTGACCCTACTCTTAAACCCTTCCAGGGATGGGGACTCCACCACCTCCCTCGGCAGCCCATTCCAATGCTTAACAACCCATTCTGTAAAGAAAATGAAATTTTATTTATAGAAGGTTGGATTTGTAGTTACTAGCCGTACATAAGACTGTTGAGTAAAGACTGAATTCTTTGACATAATCTGTTAATATCTGCTAAACATGTTTGTTGCAGCAGTGCAGTTTTCAGCAGAGAAGGGTAGTTTGTTTCTTGATAAAATTAATTATTTTCTATTATTGAATAAAATGGAATTTTATACTTTGCTGCATATTAAGGAGCTAGTATAAACAGTGAATTTGACTTTCAGGTTTGGCTTAAGAAAAGGATGCCATTCTGATGTGGAGTCTGGATACTCTCTTTATTCCACTGACTCTGACGATCAGGTAATCAAATAACTTTTTCATACAGTCATCTCTGTTATCAAAAGAGAAGGAAAACTGGAATACTTTGAATGATGGAAGAAAGCCAGTTTAATTTAGGTAATACTGCATCTGGACTAGAAATAGCTCCTGCAAAACTAGCAAGAGTGTCTACTGCATTTTGCTGGTACATGCAAGCTGACTGTGTGCAGTGAATTTGGTTCTGACAAATCTTATTGATGATATATTCTACGAACACAGATAGGCTGTTTCTGGACTAGAGCTGGCCCTGGCAGAAGTAGATTTTGTTCAAAAAAAAAAAAGTGGAATCAGTGCTGCAGTGCTTTTTTCTGTGTAGTGCTGAGTCAGTTATCTCCTAAACAGAAAGGGAAATAAGAATAAAACCCACACATATGCAATTACCAAAACAAAATCCATCAATGGATACATGTGCGAGAAGACAATTGAGTTTTTTTTTTTCAAGATGTGTGTGTTTCCAAACTTTCATATAATTGCAAAGTAATGCATGGAACAAGACATGTTTTTGCTGGATATCGGTGGTTGTTCTTCAAGTGACAGAGTGGGGAACAGTCACTTCTAAAACAGTGTCTTGGCTTGCTGAAAGAGAACAGTGATACTCATTTTCTGACTGCAGTATTCTTTGTCCAGGTTGATGCTATTCATAATGGACTTGACCGTTGTGCAGCTTTACTGAAGAATATTTTACAAAATGAGGCTTCAGGTTGTATCTATTGAAAATTTAAATTATGTTTTTAATCTTTGTAAGACTGTTTTGATTTGGTTTTGTTGACTAATTTTTCTTTTGACTAATACTAGGGAGGGATACTATCCATAAACAACCTGGGAAAACAACTTCAGTTAAAATTAATTCAAAGCCCTTGCTAACCAAAGGAAATATTTCAAAGAAGAAAGGATTGAAAAAAACCACTACTCATGCCCACATCCGAAAAGAAATTGGTAAGCAGACTTTCTTGGGCTTGCTTTTTCTCAAACAACATTGAGAGACTCCTCAGAGATATAACAAGGCCTCAAATAATTGTTGTCATTTGTTACAGGTTGATCCAGGGCTAGATCTACAAAAGGATGTAGACATTACTCATTGCCTTTCAGAAAGCGCAAATGTTTATTAAACAGTTACTAAAATTCACAAATGTTTGAGCTTCATGTACAAGAAGGTTGAGTGCATTTACAAATACCAACATTGTCAGGTTTAGCTGATACGAAACATGGAGCAGAATGGTAATACCCATGCCCCATTTCTCTTGGAGAGTGAACCATTACAATGCCTGGTCTGTGTTTGGGATACGCAGCTATAAACTGTCTTGGAGTTAGATGTGCAGCCAGGATGAGATCTCAAAGATCAGTTTCTGAAGCAAGAAAGTGTTGCAATAAATCATAAGAACTCAAATGGTTTAGTGGCCAGAACACTTGAATGGAAAGGTAGATGGAGTGCTGTAGGCTGAGTTGCTTTCAGTTGAAGTATTTTTATTAGTGTTTCTCTGTCTCTCCACCCCATTATTTTGTGTGATTTCTAATCCAGTAGACGGGTAGTCTGTAGACTAGGTGTGGAGCAGAACGTCTCTTCTGTGAATTTTAGAAGGTGGGCACATAGCTGATATCTTTCCAGCACTGTAAAAAATATGGCATCTTAATTATACCCAACATAAGAAAATTAAGTTTGGAGAGTGCTTTGGTATTGGTTATTCCAAATGGTTTAAAAGCTTAGGAAGCAGCTAAGCAGAGATTTTAAGAATTGCATTTAGAACTGGCCTTCTGTAGGATTAAATCTCTGTGCTTCCTTCAGGGACAGCTGTCTGTCCAGCTGGGCTAGGTTTCTCTGTCTGAAGGAAAAATAATGGCTTAAATTTGCTGTGAGTAAAAATCTGACTAGAATTTTAGGCTGTAGGTTCTTTTGGTTTTCTTTTTCAAAGAAACCTGCCAGAGTCTGTCTGCCTGACAACACAGTGGGCTTGTGTAGATTGAGAGGACAGACAACTTCAGCTGGGTTTTTTGTTCTTTCTCTGTAGTGCCAATATCAAACAGAAAACTTGCCTCGTCTGCCACACCTTCTAGTGAGAAAGAACTTCTCAGTTCAGCACAGAATCAGATGGTTCAACCAATTCATGTGCCTTGCAGTCAACACTCTCCTGTGATGCATCAGAAACTGTGCGAACATGTGCAAACTCAGATGTCTCTCATAACTGGCCAACCACCACAGAACAGTAATGAAATTCCTACTGCAACCTCTTTTCCTACATCAGATCACGGTTAGTGGAACAATTAATTTACAGCCTGCTATTTTGCTGTATGAGTTTTGCCCCAGATTGCCCTGATCTATAAGTGTTTTCTTTTAGGGTGTCAAAATGTTACAGCTTGTAATTATCGATTACCTACCTCCATAGCAGCTCTGTCCCTGCAGCATTCAGCTAATCCCTTATCTACTCAGTCAGTAAGTAAAAATTTGATCCTGACTATTATTAAACATTTTAAATTAGCACTGTCTATTTATTTATACATTTGCTTAAGTGTGTGGGTTTTCTTGGGTTTATGTAATAGTTTTCCCTAAAGAAAAACAAAGCATATTTCAACCTACAGTGATGAACAGAATAAATAATGAGAGTAAATACTACTATTTAAAATACATTTTATATACATGCCAAAAAATGAAATTGGAAGGCATTTCAACTGGCTGCTTGTTTCCACATTGGGAATTTTGTAATGGACAGCAAACATGGAAGGTGCAGGAAATAGTTCATTACTGTTAATTGTTACATTCACAGTAATGCGTATAAGGATCATTAACCAACTCCTGATAAAAGAAATATCTCGTGTAGCTTTCCCCTGCCAGTGATCAAGTCGATAATTTCTTCAGACACTGTGTATTATATTAGAGCCACATTTTAAAATACTTGTGTATTTCAGGGTATAGAATAGAACTAATGGAGAGTACCAACTGCCACCTTGGGAAATGTGGTAAAGGGCTTGCACCTTGAAACTGTAAGACTGTAGACTTAACTTCCATCTGCAGGCAGTCCAGGTATAGCTAGTGCTGTCCTTGACTTTTAAGAAATTCATCTACTTAAAATATTGAAAGGAAATAGTGTTGTCTTTTTATTTTTGTTCTTCCCTGTTCTGGTTTGATTCAAGAAATGAGTGCTCATAAAGCAAAAAAAAAACAAAACACTGCTGAGGTTTTTTTCTTTACAGAACAACTGAAAATGTTGCCAATAACATTTAAGATAAAGGTGATCTTTTAATTACTCCTTAATATACTGGAAGATTATGCAATTAGTGAGCTGTAGTTGCTTGTATAATTTGCAAAGAGTAATCAAGACTACATCAAGGTGGGTTGTTGGGGGTTTTTTAATTTTATTTTTTTTTAATCATGTTAATGTTTTGTTTAATATGAATATTCTTTATGCAGGATGTTCCTGTAGAGAGGGGGAATGAATGTGTGCCAGAGTTGGGAGCACCTGTGGTGTGCCCGGTAGTTTCTGCTGCGCCTACTACTGCTGTGCAAATACAGTCTGCCACTGCTCTTCCTAGTGTAGCATCAGGTGCATCAAATAGCTCTGCACTGCCTACATTCATCCCATCATCTGGCAGAGAGATGACCCCAAACCATGAGCAACAGATAAAAGAAGCAGATCTGATAAGATGTATACAAGCTCACCTGGCCCTGTTACAATCACATGAAATGATGAATGGCAGGACTGAACAGAAGTGCCATCATCATTTTCCAGCAAATCATAATGTTTCAAGTAATGAGGGGGATAGTTCTGAAGAACACAGTGAGGACAGGGTCAGTGAAGAAGACGAATTGAAGGTACTTGACATAGCCCCAGTGAGAGATACAAGCTGTAAGACAAGTTTTGTGAAGAAAGTTCTAAATTCTAGAAAAGAAAGTCCAGATGAAACAGCCCATAAAGTTAAGACTGTAAAATATCTTCTAGGAGAGCTCAGAGCACTGATAACAGATCAAGGTGAGGACATTTTCATCCTGCAGTAGAGTGATTACATACAAATAACAAGAGCTGTGTTAAATGAGTGAGCACTTAAGTTTCTAGAAGTTGTATGTCTCAGATGATATGTGACACCATAGAGTGTTTTCCTACAACTGTAATAGCTTCATGTTTCACTGGATAAGTATTAAATTATTTTTTGGAGTATTTTAATGTTATCATGACAGCTAGGGTAAAGATTGTTCTCATTTGTTTTCCTCTGAGAAAAAGAGAGCAGTGTAGACAGATTGAAACAACAATCCCACCAAGGCTGGTCAGAGAGATGGTGGGTTATGATTTCTCAAGAACCTAAAGCATAGATTTCATAGTCAAGTTTAAAAAATTTAAATAAATATAGTTAAAATAAAGCTGAGGGGGTTTTTTTGAAAAAAAAGCAGATACTATTATATCACTTTATAGATTCTTAATTGCATATAAAATATTACTGTCATATTACAGGTTTATATGTTTATGCAGTCTTTTTTTCCCTCATCTCTTGCAGATGATTCAGAAATGTTAAGGTTGATGAGTGAAATAGAAGACTGCATATCATTGTTCCCAGCTGTAGTGGGAAGTACGAATATACAAGCTGAAATAGCACTGGCTTTACAGCCTCTCAGAAGTGAAAATGCCCAGCTGCGTAGGTTAGTAACTTGTCAGTGATTTTTTATTTACTGCAGATGCACCTAAAGCATCTTTAACTGGTCTGTCTTAAACTGTATGTTTTATCATTGTTATGGTGTACAGCCCTTTCATTCTTGTCTGTGCAGTATTTATATACTAGTGTGTTGGTAAGGCTAAATAGTGTAAATAATTAACTCATAACAAGACTTCAGTTAATACTGACGTTTTAGTTAGCATCATGATTGGGCCTTTGCCTAGGTGGCATCAATATATTGTTCTCTCTGAAACCTGCAGTATCAAGATAGTTAGCCTGCTTTTTGTAGAATATTCTCAAATGCAAAAATGTCTGTCATTTTGAGGGAGCTCTCATATACATAACTGGGTAGCTCTTCAGAACAGAGGGAAAGATATTTTGTGTTGAAATATAGGAATGTAAGAAAAATGCATTATTAAAACTTTTTTATGTTTCTGAAACTTCTGTAACATTTAATTCTCAGTAGCAACTTCTTACCAATCTAATGTAAAATGCAGTGCTTTTGAACATATTCTGAACTTTCTGAATTTGTGGTTTTTTACAATTCATATTTAGAAGACTAAGAATATTAAACCAGCAACTTGGAGAACGAGAAAGAAGCGAGAAGACATCTGGACAGAGCTGCAACTATGAAAGTAAAGTACTAATAGAGAATGATGCCTGTTAGGCATTTTTGTTAAAGCTTTGTTTAAATAGATACAGATATATACAGCTACAGATATATAAATTAAAAATAGCAGTATTTATCGTGCCCTTTAGTGGCAGTTAAACTAAGAGCTTTGGGTCTAATCATGCAGCTGCATTTGCATGGATTGTTGTGCCTGTTTGGACTCCACATAGTGAGACTCGGGCTCAGCTGCTGAACAGATTTTTTTTTTTTTTTTTTTTTTTTTTTTTTTTTTCTTTTTCTTTATGTGCCTCTTAAAATGAAGATGACATATTAGATAATTAAGAAGAAAGTTTGAGTTTTATCTTGCTGCCTCAAAAAAACACTCTTCTATCTGTAAGCAAAGTTCATATTACCAGGATTATTTAAAAACTTAGTTTGATTTAGAAATTCAAACTGTATCTATCACACAAAACACATTTTTTATGTTTTACTTTTGGTAGTAGTTTCTTTGCAGTCTTTGAATATGATGCTCCAGAGTCATTTGAAAGAATCACTGAAAGGCCTTGAGTCACTGCAGGCTAAAAATGAAGAACTACTTAAAGTAATAGAAAGTCAGAAAGGAGAAAATAAACATCTTGCAAAAGATATTCAAGATAAAGAACAAGAATTGCTTGAAAACAAACAGCATTATGATATTCATTCCACCAAGCTCAAGATCGGTATGTGTTTTGAATTTGTTTATTCTTCATTTAATGTTTTAAAACTTAAATAAATAGCTAAATTCTTCTTGGCATTTTAGAAGTTGAAGAGGCATTAGCAAATGTGAAGAGTCTTCAGTTTAAACTGGAAGCTTCAGAGAAAGAAAATAAGATATTGAGCATAACGTTACGTCAGCGTGATGCAGAAGTTAACAGACTGCGTGAACTAACCAGGTACAATTGGCTAAGCTATTTCTTTGCCTCTTGACATTGCCTTTTTTTTTCTTTTTTTTTTTGCATAGTTTGGATTATTGTAATCTTAATAATTTGGTGGTAGGAGGTCACATAGGCTAAAACTTCTCTTTGTAGTTACTTTTGCTACAATGGTGCTGTAATTTTGTTAAAACAGTTGTCGTGCTTCATGATTAAGTTCTGTTGTTAAACTGCTATCTGCCGTAACTTGTGCAGAGTTTTAACTCTTAACAGCAGCCCTGCAGATAAGGATCTCCATGTGGAGTGCATGGACCTGAAAACCTACTGATACTTCCCTTGAATCTGTGGAATTTGGAAACGAACTCTTAATCTGAATTAATAAGGGATTTTATTTTTCTTTCTTTCTTTACCCTGCTTCACAAATTGGTCTGTTTTGAGAAGATCTGTCTTCAAAACCCACAGCAAGCTCTTCCTGTGGGAATGAGCAGCCCTTTCTTTAATTGTACACCCATTTAAAGTAGATTATATTCAGTTATTAATTATGGTTAAAGGTGGGAGTCTCAGATCACTGAATGAAGGTGGTGTTATTCACAGTTTTTTAGAACTGTTACTGGGAATTTATTTCATTGTGGTCTTTAATGAAATAGGTTGAGTATCGTATATTTTATGATGAATATAGTGGCCATCTGGGAGACTTAAATAGCTTTTTGCACATGCAAAGTAGTGTGTACATAAAATGTGTTTGGACATGATGTGAACAGGAAGTTAAACTCTTGTCTGTCTTGTTTATAGTGGATAGTGATTGCAATGTCAGAATATTTTTAATCAATGCTTCAGATTTTCCAGTAGTTTAGATGTATTACACACTTCTGTGAATACTGTACTGACCACCAGATGGTAGTATAGTGATATTTTACTACATATGTATATGCCACATTTAATTGTAAGCATTTAAGTGTTAATTTCTTTTGATGTACTAAGCAGAAAATGAGAAGAATATTTATTTTACTATATATTTTCTTTAGATGCAATGGGAAGAATAATTCAGAAAGAATTCTCACTGATTTTGATAACTTTCTATAAGCTTTAAAATGGTTTCTTGACATCAATTTATTTAGTTTTTTAGTACTCAAAGCAGGTAAATCGGGAATAATCTCAAGAACTTCATTGGGCTGTTATTTTAGTCACTTTATAGGCACATTGAACTGAGCTGAAGAAAGAAATTCAAGAAACTTGGAACTGGTTCACATTTATACTGTTTTATGACAACATGTAGTGAGAGAATTGTAACTTTGCTGCAGTCTGATAAATCTAATGTTTTGGTGTTATGTAAAAGTTTTTAAAATTACTTTGTTGTGGCTGTTTTAAAATCTGATTAATTGATCTTATCTTAACAGAACCTTGCAGGGCAGTATGGCCAAGCTTCTGTCTGACCTCACAGTAGACAACATTAGACCCAAACCTGAAAATGGTCTCTCGAAGTCTCTTTTGGAAGACCATGAAAAGCACATGCAATCTGATCCATTTCCTGGAGGTACCTCAGTGATGACTTACCTTGAAAAATTAGAAATGGATCATATTTTGACAGATACAGAACTTCAATTCTCAGATAAAAGTGAAGAATTAGAAATACAAAGTATAGCCTATGAAAAGTTTGCTGGTGAAGGAAGTAAAATAAACAGTACATCCTCAGGAGAAGGAACATCAGCTCCCAGAATACTGCTAACCTCACTGAAGGAAGATGCAGAAACAGTTAGTGATTCTGACACTTTACTAGATGACCAAAACAAGTTGGATGAGACTGTTTATATTCCACTGACTGGCAATGCCTCTAAAAAACAGCAGCCAACCTCTGGTGTGCTACCCCAAAGAGGAGGAGTTTGTAAGATGCTTGACTACCACTGTGAGCTCTCAAACTCTTTGCAGCAGAATGGATGTCAGGTATCAAAGGATCCAGCTATTCTGGATAAATTAAGTGCTGGGTACAATGTGAAAAAGACTGTGGAAAAAATATATGAAGTTACAGGGGATAAAGTGAAGCCAGGAGACAAAGTCCAAAAGAGTCCAAAAGGCACTCCAAGTGCAGCTGCAAAAGACTTCATAGATAAACCAGACCAAGCTCAGCCTGGTACATATCCTCGTGTAGTGATGCCATTTCCGAAAGAGATTTCTCAGAAAAAAGGCAGTGAAATAGCTGATTTTAGTCCCATTTCATTTGATGATCTATCAGGGAAGTCTGAGTGGAGTGCATCCTCTTTCTCAACATTTACTTCTCGAGATGAAGAGGACTTTAAGAATAGCTTAGCAGCCTTGGATGCCAACATAGCTAAGTTACAAAAAACTCTGCAAAATAGCATTATGAAACAATAAGTATGAGGAAACAAAACAGGGTGCACTTGTTTGGATTATTTAGGGTTTTCTGAAGTGTATTAGTAAGTATGGTACTGATACAAATATTTGTGTGGTTTTGGTATGAAATTATTTGTTCTTAGCTGTTTAAATTATGGATGGGATTTGTTCTTTGTTAAGCTGTGGCGCTGCTTCTCTTGATGTGTACAACTTGAAATAACTGGTATAAATGCCTTTTTTAATTATGAATTAGGTTTATACTCTTCAATGGCAACATTAATTTTTAGAACAGCACTTGGTAACTGTTTAAGAAACTGGTGTGCTGTTGGCAATGCAGTTTTTCTACTAAATGGTAAAGTACACTTGCGTGCTTTTTCAAAGTAGTAAGAGCAGCAGAGAGATGCGTTGAAGTCTACAGATGTAATAAAGAAAATTTTTATTTCATTATAATTTGACTGTTATAAATTTGGATGCATAGTTATTTTCCTTGGTTGTTACCATGTGTTTCAAGGAACTTATCTCCTTGTTCTGGTTCACCATGAAGGTGTGGAAGCAGTAGTGTCAAGGTTAAAGAAAGAGGTGACCAGGACTTCTTATTCAGGTGCATTGTGCTTAATCCAAACGGGGTTTAATCAAGAAGTGGGAGTTTAACTGGTGAAAGTGGAGCTGCGTTGAACATAAAAAGTGTTCTGCCTTGACTAGGTAGGTCTCTTTGGGTTGTTTTGTGTTTTTCTTGAAGAGGAACTTAGGTGCAGAAGGCTAAATTAAACTTCCTTGTTTACTCATGTTTTTTCTTCCCCAAAGAACAATTGCAAGGTACAATACATGGGCAAGAGGTTCCACAGGTAGAGGCCAGAGAAGAGCTAGCTGCAGAGCAGCTCTGCAAGAATGTTGAGAGTTACAACTGTTAAGTCAGGATCATGCTGTTCCAAAAAACTACGCAGCCATCCTACGGGATTTGCAGTGTATGGTAGAACCTATAAAATACATGGAGTAATCCTTCTTTGCTCATTGCTGGTAAAACTCAATTTTCAATTTTGAGCATTGTATTTGAAAGAAATTAAGTGGAGAGTCCAGATGAGGACAAGAAAGGAACCATCAAATTTATGTTCTTTTCTACAGTTCTGTTTTAGTTCATAGCTTTTACAAATGTTTGATTTTATCTAAAAGAGAATATAAGACCAGTGAATAAACACAGAACAGACTGATGCTGAGAAACAGAAGCAGCAACAGGCTTCAGCTGACACAAAGGAGACAAATTAGGCATCAGTGAAAGCTGGCAAACCAGTACAGTAAGCCAAGCACAAGAATATACAGGGTGAGGCAGTCATGGAAATTCCCCAGTTGTTGAGGTGTCAAACATCTACTGGGCATAAATACAGAGTCTGGACTGAGCCACCCAAATTGGCTCTCACAGGAATGGGAGTGCAGGGAAGAAAGATTCCAATCTGTTGTTCTTGACAGGGCTTTCCAGATCTTAGTGTCAAGAATATGTGTTTTGCAAGTTTTTAAGTGACAGGTGTAGGAAGGTGATGTTATTGCTACCATTCTGTTCCTCTTACACCCTTAGAAGTACTTTGAACACTGCTTTTCATGACTCATGGTTTTTTAGGAAAGATAACAGAAGGACCTGAATTTAAGACTGCTTTTTCTTCAGTACTGCTTTGCTTTTTTTTTTTATTTCTTTTTTCCTAGAAAACATTACTGTGCTTCCTGGTGATGATCTTTTCTTTTATGTTTCCATGTAGGACAAAAGTCTCAAGTTCTACCACTTTGAAGAATTTTATTTTTTCTATGGTTAGTTGCTGAATGAACACATTTTAAAGTTAGGGCACTATCCATACATTGTGCTGAGGAGCAGTTTTGTGATTATTTTAGTTACTGGTAACTGAGCAATAAAAAGGTATGAAGACAACACATACTACAGAAGATGCCAACTGGCACTCCTGCTTCGAAAAAGGAAAGTTAGACTAAATAGTGACTTCAGTGACTTAGAATGCTTTTAAGGCTTGGCCTGGATTTCTTATTACTCTCCACACTACTCATGCTGAGATTCAAAATAAGGTTGATAATATCAAAGTGGGCAGGTTTTAATTAAATATTTACAAGCACTCAGGATAGAAGCAAAGCAAGATTTAAACGATGATTATGTCATGAATTAAAGACAAACTACAATAAATTCTAGTCTTTAAAACTCATGAGAAGACTGAGAAAAGATTTGAAATAATATTCCTTAGTAGACAAACTAATTCAGTTTTCTTCTTGCAGCTAGAGCTTACTCCACTTAAAGAAGGTTATTTGTCCTGGCCAAAGCTAGTTGTACTCTGCATAAAGCAGCTGTGGTGTCAAGATGCCCAAGAAGGTGGTTCTTGCATTGAGAGCATTTATGTTCACCTTTACCTCAGCGAGGGAAGGTGTTACACCATCTTACTTGTGTCCTACTCATCCTTACAAAGTTAGTTCTATCAAAGCACAAGATGACTACTGGAAAAGCTTTTTGGGTTTGTACTGTGTATCCTTCTCTTAGAAGGAGATGAAGCTAAGAAGAAGAAACAGGGCGAAGGAGTTCTTTAATACAGTTCTTTGTTTTGTACTCAGACATGTCAACTGGAGCTATAGCAACGTTCAAGGAAATCTAAAATTTCCCATATTATGGGCATTATGAATGTGCACTGGTGTGGAAGCAAAAGCTAGCAACATCAAATGTGTAAGTCTTTAAAAGGTGGGAAAGGTTTCCAGGGTTCAACTCAAGAGCATTGAGACTGAAGTCAGCATAACTCTAGTGTTCAGATAGACTTGGTAGAAGGCAAATAATTGTATCTCTTACAAACTCATTCTTTTAATGTATTGTATATAGTAAATAATACCTACAGAAAATAAAGGAAGTCCTAGAATCTGCAATCTGCACATTGTAACACACATTTTGACCCCTCAAATTTGTCTCTGAAGTACGTAGCAAGTCTTTCATGGGCTGAGATACATTGCTCTCCACCCTACTTCTAAGAACTTTTCAGCGTGATTCAACTGATTGAGCTACCTGGCTAGAATCCAACACCACAATTTTTTTTCCCCACCAGCCCCAGTCACACTTGCTAAAAACTGTAACTTTGGAAGCAGGACAGAATTACCTGTGTAAAGCCAATGCTGATGCCAACCACTCCAATAAGAGCAATACAATCTTCATCTGACTTCTGGTTTTGGACACATCCCTAAAACGAGGGACAGGCATGATAGGTAGAGGAGTCAAAGTGTATTTGCAACAGAATTCAAGCTCCATTTCTGTTCCAGCTTTATTAAGGATGTTTTAGGATAGCTAAAGATGAGAGGTGATACATTAATAAATAAATTTTAATTAAATTTAAATTAATAAATAAATAAAAGATACAGTAATAAATTGGGCTGCAGTGTCATCTATGCAAGTCATTTTTGTGTTGTACATAAAATTTTGCTGTTGTTTTGAAGGAGAAAAAAAGTATTTAAATTTGGGTAAGTAGTCTCACAAAAGCATGTACCTCATTCAGATCTAAAGGATTGGACAAAGGACAAACAGCTGTGGTGCCTCAGTTTCTGTAGCCAGGAGGTGATGCTTGAATGAACAAGGCTAACAGTAGCATGAACAGCTGTGACATACCAGAGACAGTTCAAGAAACCATCTCCCCCATGTCTGAAGGCCCGTTCTTCCACACCTGCTGTTTTACTGTGGTCATGGAAAAAAACAGCTTAAGATTTTCTTCCACTGTACTGTAAGTAGTTATAAAATATAGCAGATTTTCAGTATTTAAAAAGATTTACAACTGAACCTTATGATGCCAAGTTGAGAACAGCGCAACTAGTTGGGCTGAGGAGTTTTCATCATGGGTAGCTGATCATACAGCCGAACAAGTATTCAGCAGAACTTTCCAGTTTGGCCAGCAAAGCTGGTTTTAGCTTCTGTCCATCACTGTATCAAGCCTCCAAATATATAAGGGATATTTGAAATTTATATATTCAACATGAAATAGTTGTTCTATGTTCAGTAACAGCTGCTGTGAAACATTTCTCCTGTTCCAAGGCTTAACTTACAAGGAGCAGCTCAGCAGTTGCACCTTCAGTGATAGGGAGCCTCCTCTAGATTTTTGTTATAGCCAGAGAGAGAAGATAGAGGAGTTTTCATTTTTACAAAGCATATTCTTTGAAGTTGACATCTGCACTTTCCAGTGATGTGGAAAGGAAAGGAACCCTTAAAACACATTTCATCAAGCTCTTAACAGTCATTTCCCTTTTATGAACTCCTTTCCTTATGGAAAAGGGAAAAGATTTGGCAATACTCCAGAATCCAGGATACCTGCCTTTAACTCATATAATTCCCTGCTCTGAGTTCTTGAATGTTGAGTGTCTGTAATCCACTGTCTTATTCAAAGAACTGGAGAATGGTGATAGCTCCCAGCAAACACAGAGGATGGTGGCCTTATCACTGTACCCAAGTTGATCAAAGACTTCATAAGGAACAAAGATGCCTTATTTGCTGAAGTGAAGCCAGTGCTGCATCTGTGTGTGTATATAAGCTACCTGGGACACCACTTGTGGTCAAGTGGCAACATCATTCGGCTCTGTATGGAAGGAAGGTTTTATAGCTCATGTTACATTTTGCAAACTAACAATGATTGCTGCTGGTACCTCGAGTACCTTTCTTAAGACATTGACGTACACAGGCATCCTTAACAAGGGTGAATTTTTTCCTTAGAAGGGAAGGAAATAATTCCCTGGTTAGAATCTGACTGGTGAGATCAGAGAAACAGATTAAGTGGGGAAAAAAAAAAAAAAAAAGAAAATAAATCATAGATTAAGTCACTTCAGTGATCTCCCCAAATAAGGCAGAGAAATATTCAAGTCTGAATGGGCCAGCCAGGACAGGTCTGCACACCTACCCCAGAACCAGAACCTACAAGAAGTTGACTGTCAAGTCAACTTTGGAGTATTAAAATGGGTATGACAGACAGTTCAGTCTAAACACAGATTTAGCTCTAAACCATCCTAGGTAGATCAGACTACCCTCGTTAATGACCCATTTCTGACTAAGCTCAGGCAGGCCATCTCAAGTGGTTCTTGATCAAGATTAATGCAAATGCTGTTAGATATTAGTGTCTATCTTCGCCAAAATTCAGGGAATTACTTCAGTAATTTCTTTGCACAACCAATCCTAGAGGCAATTTTCTTTCAGCCAGATTCAGGGATATTCAGTAGTCTTCAGTTATACGAGTGAGTCATGGATTTTGCCTGCAGAGCCTTAGGTACAGGGGAGTCAACAAAGTAGTAGATGAGGTCTAATTGCCGAGTTTACTTTAGCCTATCCACTTTAAGGTGAAATCAAGAGTAACAGTAACTTCCATGACTGTCCTTATGATTGGAGCTGTAACTGGACAGGGGCCTGAACTGAACAACCTGTCCTTTCCCTCTGCCTTCAATTAGTGTTATATTTGATTGTGTCTTTCTTCAGTATAAGAATAGTTTATGCTTGCTTTTTTTTTTTTTTTTTCTTTAAAGGTGCACACTTGTGCATATATGGTACATATAGTGCATAAACTGAGAAATCTTTTTGGCAGAGAAGAAAATAATTTTCTCAGTTTTTAGGCTCCAGATTTCTCTTAATCTGTGCAAATGGACTGTTTCTGCAATCTTTAACAGTCTTTTTAAGTGTATTCAGTTCTTTTAATTTGTTACTGCAATGTCAGCAAGGGAAAGGTACCTCTCTGTAAGCAGTCCACACCTTCAGTTATTGGCCATCCCCTGTTACACTTGCCAGGAGTCTTCAAAGGCTTCCCAGTAAATGATGGGGCAGCTGTGAGGAGAGCAATATTCATCAGATTATCTTTGTGCAGATGTGAGTTAGTCCCTGTGGTCATGCACTGCTTTCCCTTCCAATGTTAGACAAGTGCCACAGTTACCCGGTGATCTTCTTTCAGGAATTAGATCATATGTAAATGAGATGTGTCAGCTGTGAACTTCAGATACAGATTCAGAACACAGATGCTGTGGTTATACCTAAATGCATCTTCAATGAATGATTTCACATGCTAGTTGAAGACCAAACACCAAGCTGAACTGAAAACCAAATGCTTTTGCAGACTTATTCTGTTTATGAGGACACAGAGTGGAGAGAATATTATCCCATAGGTTCGCCAGTTGTACTCATAAATATTTGTCTTGAGCACACACAAGTCCCAGTGCACAGCCACACAACAACCCCCAGTCATGAAGTGACAACAGTAGTATCGCAAGTTCACCACCAATGACATGCTGAAAAATATTTTTGCACTTACGTAAACATCCATTACTTAAGTTTTTACACTGCTCCAAAGACAGTGTAAAAATGGTGCTTTACTGACTGGAAAAAGAGCAGCTTAAACTAGTTAAAGTGTAGTGGCCATCTGTGCTACAGTTAATATTATGTGGTTTATAGGCCCTTCAAGCATTTGCATGTCTAAAGACTACTTATAAGTATTATTTCTTTTAAAACTGGTTTTGTCCAAGCCCATGATGAATTCTGGCTACTTCTCTGCTGCAATCATACAGCCAAAACATATATTTTCTTACTGTCTCCTCCCAGATTCTATT